TCCTGGGGTGGAGAGGAGCTGAGGGAGCACGGAGCAGCACTAGACATGGGACCTGCTCTGGACGGCACTGCCCTTCCCCCAAACCCAGCACCGCGGTGGGCCAGTGGTCAGCGCTTCTGTCCGGCCAAGGGTAAGTGGGCGAAGGGTGCCTGTGTGTTCTCGCTCCTGCGGTGAAGACGAAAGGAACATTCTGCCTGTCCCCCTGCACAGGGGGGCGGGGAGGGGAAGGGAGGGGTCGGCTTGAGTTCTGAGAACCTGGTCTGAGACCTGGCTCTCCTGGTCACTCAGTCTGAGCCTCTCCACCAGAGAAGCGATGGGAGGCGAGCAGGACTCCAGACCCTTTCGCTCACCTTCTCCGTCCCAGGAAAAGAAAGGAGCGCACGGAGCTGTGTGTGTGCACCAGATGGTGCGTGTAGTCTGTGTATGCATCATGTGTGTGCATGTATCTGGGTGTATGCTCCCCTGTCTCTCTACATCGAAGGGTCTGTGTTTCTACAGATCGCTAGTTATCTGAAATTACCTCTACCTGTGCGTGTGTGTGCGCTGCGCAGGGGGCATGTGTGTGTCTGTAAGTTGGTGTCAGCTTCTGGGTGTCTGCTTTTTCTCCTGTGTGTGTGTAATGTCTGTGGTTGGGTGTCACTGTTGGACTATGAGTGTGGTGAGAGCTGGGTGCTCTGCCCTCTTGTCCGTGTTGATGAGAGGAGGAGCGAGAATACCTAAGAACACCACATCCCTGGGAGGGGGCCTGCCAGAGCGTGTGTGTGAGTGTGTGTGTATGGTGTGTGTCCATGTCCCGATAAGCCTGGTTTGCTCCAGCGGACTCTCCTGGGTCCTCCTCCACCTAGGCCCTGGACTGCCCCTGCCCTTCCAGCACCCAGGGTTGACATTCTTGGGGGAGGGGGGCTGAGCTCCTCCACCCCACCCACCCCCACCGGACGAAAAACAAGCCTCCAGCTCAGGTGGGCGCTGTCAGGTGCTGGCGCCAGCTGAGGGCTTGTCCACACCCTCTAGGGCCCCCTGACTCCCCATTCACAGGGGAAGAGGGGAATGGAAGGCGCAGAGGGCCAGGCCGTTCAAAACGGAGGGGGTCTAGTGCCACGGATTAAGGGGGCCTGGATCCCCACCTTCTTCTCAAGTCTCTACCCCATCCCAGAAATGAATGCGCGCTCTCCAGGTGGAGACAGATCCCGCTGTGGCCTCCCTAACCCACGTGGGGACGCCAGCGGAGGGAGCAGAGAGCCTGGGGCCAGCGGCAGCACGTTAGACCTCGGGGGGGAGAGGCGGGGAGCGCGCGGGGAGCGGGGAGCGCGGGTCCCACCTCCCCGCGCCGCGCGCCCGGGCCCACAGGGGCGGGGCCTGCGGGAGCGCGCGGGGCGGGGCTTCGGGAGCGCGCGGGGCGGGGGCGGGGGCGGGCGGGGGCGTGGCCTGAGCTCCGGGGCCGGCGGCCGCGGCGGGCGGCGGGGAGCTGGGCAGCCAGCAGCCCGGAGCGCGGGGCTCAGTCGGGGGGCGGCGGCGGCGGCGGCTCGGGGGATGGCGGCGGCCGCGCTGCTGCTGCTGTTTCTGCTGCTGCTCGTGCCGGTGCCGCTGCTGCCGCTGCTGGCCCCGGGCCCCGGGGGGGCGCTGGGCAACCGGCACACGGTGTACTGGAACAGCTCCAACCAGCAGTGAGTCCGGGCCGGGCGGGAGCTCGCGTCCCGCGTCGGGGAAGGGGAAGCTTGTGGGCTCGGGGGGACCTTAGGTGGGAGTCCTGCGGGAGCACCGCTGGGTGCTGGGAGGCGAGGGAGAGCGGGGCACGCTCTATGGGGAGCTCGGGGGCGTCTGAGAGAGGCCGTGGAGGTGTATAGGAAGGAAGGCGGCTTTGGCCGTGCAGGGCAGGCTGCTCAGGGACCCCCGCCCCACCTTGGCTTCTCTGCACACCCCACCGCACAGGGCCCCCGGCGCCCCAGCCTTCGCCGCCGGGCTGGGGCTGGGGAGCACCAGCGTGCTGGGGGCAGGCCATCCGTTTTGGTGGGGGGCAGGGATGACCTGTTTTCCATGCTGAGCATTTCAAGGGGTTCTGTCTCGGACTCCTGCGTTTGGAAGTGGGGCCCAGAGCCGAGGCCGGGCGTCCGATTGACTGAGTGCCTCCCCGGGACGGCGGTGGAGGGGCTGCCGGGCGGTGTGGCTGGGTGAGCCTGGCTGGGTGAGCTGGGTGAGCCGCGGCTGGGTCGGGGTCGCCGGGGTGCTGGTGGGTGAGGACGCGGGGTAGCGGAGAGGGAGGAGGAAGCAGGGAGATGGCTTGTCACACGCACACACACACACACACACACGCACACACGCACACACACCCGGGCTGGATGGCGTGTGGCTCCCAGTGTGAGCGGGCGTGCGCGGCTGTCAGTGTGCGTGTGTGTCTGAGGGTGTGATTGGTGTGTCTGCGGCGGCCACGTCTGGGCCCGGGGCTCCGGCGCCGCGGGCTGGGCGGGGGTCGGGCGGCCTGTGGGTCCGGGGTGCCGGCCGCGGGGCCGGGCTCTCTCCCCGCTCGGTCCCGGCTGCCCTTGTCTTCTCCTCCGGATCACCGTGTGTGTGTGTGTGTGTGTGTGTGTGTGTGTGTGTGTGTGTGCCGGGGGGATCCCTGGGGACGCGGGGGTCACTGTCACCTGCCCGGGCGGCGGCACTGCCTCTGGCTCCCACCCCGGGGGCGGCTCCCGGGCCGTGGCGAGGCCCCGGGGGGAGGCACCCGGAGGGCAGGCGGCGGCGACCCCAGCCTCCCGGGGGAGGGGCTGCCGCCCGCCGCCCGGCTCTTTGTTGTTTGGGGCTCCGCGCCGCCCCCTCGCTCCCACCTCGCGCCCGAGTGTCAGACGGGGGGTGGGGAGGAGCGCGGCGCCCCCTCCCGCTTCCCATGGAAACCTCTCGGCGGGGGCGCGGCCCCTCCCCCGCGGAGGGGAGCTCGGAGAACTCGGGGGTGCGGGGGGCCTGTCCCCCTCCCCCAGGCTCACAGCCCGCCCTCGGCCCGCTCCGGCCTGGCGGGGAGCAGAGCGCTCAGGTGAGGGGCCGGTCCCCCGCCGCCTGGGGCATCCCGGGCCCCCAGCGGAGGCCGGGGCCGAGGGATGGGATCGGCGGGGGCAGGGTCGGGGGGGGGGGTGTTGTTGACCAGCTCCCCTCCCCTCCCCCGCATACACCTGGGCTCAGGTGGACGCCCTGGGAGAGGATGCGGGCCCGGGCTCCGGTGGCCTCCTCTCTGCCTTTCCCGCTCCCGCAGGTCGGGGCCGGCGGAGGTGGGGGGTGCCCGCCGGGCCGGGTGCCGCCGCCGCCCCCGCCTCCATCCTCGGCCTTTGTTGCCGCGGCGCCGGGCTCCCGGCTCCCTCACTGCGGCAGCCGCGGCCCCATAAATCGTGAGCGCGACGTGCTCCGGGCCGGGAGCGGAGGCCGGCGAGCGGGGGCGGGGCCGCCGAGCCACAGGCGCCCCGGCCCGGTCACGTGAGCGGCGCCGGCTCCCGCCCGTCACACGCGGAGGGTCTCTGGCCCTGGGGTCACGTGGGGAGGGTCCTGCGACCCCCCTCCTGCTGGGTCACGTGGGAGGGCGCCGGCGGGACACGTGCGGGGCCTCCTTGGACAGACCCGGGGGCTGCGCCCTCCTGAGGTCGGCATCCCGCCCGCGGCCCCCACGCAGCCCCTCCGGGTGGCCTCCTGGAGGAGCCAGCCCTGCGCCCGGCCTGGTCCAGACACCGGGCCGGGCGGGCTGCCTGGAGAGGAGGATGTGTGAGGTTCAGGGGCCCCTGAGCCCGGGACTGAATGGGGGAGGGGGGGCAGCGGCGGCGAACCGATGGCAGGCTGTCTGCGCCCCGGCCTGGGCTCGGTCTCTTTACAGACTGAGCAGGTGTGCTGGCATCCGCCCTTCTCAAGCCACAGGAACATCTCTCCCTCCCTGTCTCTGTCTCTGAGATGCTTCCGCTCTGACCTGCCTTCCATTCATACACTGCTTAACACATTTACTGAGTCTCCGCTGCACCCACGGGGGTCCCTGTGTCCTCCCGCCACTGAGGGGGCCTTGCACCCCTCGCTGGCCGCCGGTAACCTCCTTTGCGCCTCACTGTCTCTGTCTCCGCTGTGTGTGGGCCTCCCTGGACCAGCCTCCATGCCTCCCCCTTTCTCCAAGCCTCTGGATGTGCACGCTTCCCTCGTCCTCTCTGTTTCAGGGTCCCTCTCTCTCTCTCTTGCCTCGCTCCCTCCTCTCCCGGGTTTCTCAGTGGGTCCGGTCTCTGTGCATCCCCCCTCCCTGTCGGTGTGCTCCTCCAGACGCTCGGCTCTGCGCGCCTGGCTCTCGGCGGCCCTCGCGCCTCTCCGCCGCTGCAGATCAATAAACCTCCGCCGCCGCCGCTGTCGCAGGAGGAGGGGCGGGTGCGTGGCGCGCGGATTCTCTCCCGCCGTCGCCGGCCCGCGGAGCTCGGGGGCTGGGCCCGGGCGGGGTGGGGGGTCCCGAGGCCCAGGGAGCCAGGAGGGTGCGGGGGTGTCCGTGTGCACCCGCCACCCCGCGAGCGTCCCCGCCACCCGCCACCCGCCGGGCGCGCGGCCCCACGTTGCGCACACGTGGTCCGGCCTCGCCGGCAGGAGCAGCCGCACGAGGGAGGCCTCGGGAGCGCGCGCCGGAGGGAGGAGGCGGCCCGGTGTCTTCCCAGCCTTGCTCCCTCCGCTTCCCCAGCTCGGCATTCCCACCCCTAGGGGAGGGGGAGGGATCTAACCGGATCCGGGCTCTGTGGGATCCTCTCCCTGCGCCCCGATGGCTTAGACACTCCGTGTAACTGCCCCGAATCGCCCCGCGGGGCGGGGGTGGAGGTTTGCGGCTTCCCGCGCTCCCGCCGCCCACCACCCGGTCCCTGCAGACGGAACGCTGGGAGTCAGGCGCACCGGAGGCGGTGAGAGCCAGGAGGGACGGATAACGGGCGCGGCGCCACCCCCTCCAGGTGGGGTGAGTGGACACTCGCCTTTATTGGAGACACGTGGGAGGCTAGAGGGGGATGATGCAAGGGAGAAGAGAGAACTGTCTTAAGGGGCAGGTACCACCCAATCCCCAGGTCCCAGCTCGCCCCAGCCCCTCCCAGGGGCGGGGCTCCAGGCTGGGGAGGCACAGCCTTAGGGGAGGGGTTAGCAGCCAGCTTCACCGGGCCTGGTGTCACGGTCTTCACTATGGAGAGAGGGCGGAGGAGAGATGTACAGAAAGCACCCAGGCCAAGCAGCCCCCCCCCCCACTCCCCCCTCCCCGCTTCCAGCAGTGTGGCCGAGATTCCTGGCAGCCAGCCCTCTGCCCCCGGTCCGACAGATTCCAGCCGGGCACAGCCATTCCACAAGTAGGTCTCTTGCTCCCACGTGCCCAGCTTTTTGGGGGCGTTTCAGCCCAACCCTGGGATAGGTGAGAGATGGTTGCTCTTCATTGGTGGTCACCCAGCACCCCACTTGGGGAACTGAGGTCCCTGTAGCAATGGCTCTGGCTCTGGCTTACTCCCTGCTGGTGAGGGGGGAACTGGGCAGCCCCCCAGGGAGGGCCCCCCAGGGCAGGGCTGGGACCTGGGTGAGGCTCAAGGACAGAGGCCCCAGGGTGGCTAGGCAGCCGCTCCAGACGGGGCCCCCTACCACGGCGGCTCCTCCCCACAACACAGCCTTTGGGGTTGGCGAGAGAGAGAGAGAGAGAGAGAGAGAGAGAGAGAGAGAGAGAGAGAGAGAGAGAGAGAGAGAGAGAGAGAGGCAGGCAAACCTAGGGTGGCGGCGGGAGCCGGGCCTGGTCTAACCCGTTCTCCTGCTCCCAGCGCCCCAGGCCGCTCTCCTGCCCACCTGAGCGCCAGGGCCAGGGCGGGGCCTGAGTGACCCATCGCTCCCGTGGGAACTGAGTGGGGCCCGTGGCATTCCTGGTGACTCAGGGAAGCTGTGCCCATGCTCACCGGGCGCCCAAGCGCCAGCGCTCGCCGCCCGCCTTCCTGCCAGCCTGGAAGGGGACGCGGAGGGGAAGGGTGGTACGGGCAGGGCCCAGGAAGTAGAGTAAGGTGGGGAGGGACCCTCAAGGCCCTTCCCAGGCAGAGCCTCCAAACGCCTTTCCCTGCGAGACCTAATTACTGTTCGTGGAGCAGGGAGGTGCCTGGCGACCCTCGGGGAGTTCCCAGGGACTCCGGTGTCTGACATTTGCCTTCTCGTGTCCCCACTCTCCCGCTCACTGCCAAGGCGTATGCATGCCTGCCCTTCGGAAACGGGGAAATTCCTGCCTGGTGCTCAGTCTCTCTCTCCCCTCAGGTGTTTCTCCCATCCCTGCCTCCACAGGGTAAAGAGTGGTGCTCTGAGGATGGCTAATGAGGCAGGTGGGGATTACAAGGGGCCCAGCATCTGCTCCCCTGTCCCACAGGAGGCCCAGATCAGCAAGAGGAACAGCCATCTGTCTAGGCACAAGGCCCGCCGCCCTGCCCAGCATCTTGAAGGGACGGTGGTGCCCATGCTGAGGATGGAGGGAGACGGGTAGATACAAAAGTTCGGGAGGGCTGGTGCGATACCAGGTGGAGCCTTGATACTGAGCTCCTTAGAGCCCTGGTGCATTGTCACCTGGGGGACCTCACGGCCATGGCCTCAGGGTGGAGGGCAGTGGGACTCCAGGTACAGAGACCGGTGTTACCTTAGAGAAAGCGTGTGTGTGTGTGTGTGTGTGTGTGTGTGTGTGTGTATGTGTGTGTGAGAGAGGGTGGGGGAGAATTTGAGATTGTGGAGGTCAACCAATACTGGTGTGCAAGTTCAGCACACATACAACCGAGCATTTCCATGTTTGTGTGTGTGCCTTGGAACTACGCATGTATATGCATGAAGCCTGCCTACATGCTTGAGTGAGGGCAGGTCCCATCGCACTGGCCTTGGCCTTGGCCTTGGCCTGGCAGCCGCGGGAAAGCGTGCGGGGAGATGGGATGGAGGATGCTTATCCACCCGGAGGGCGTCCTCCCACTTTCACTGTTCTCCCTGCTCCGTCCCCGCGCCCCGCTGGTGAATTATGGGGAATGCAGGGAGGAAATCCGGGTCTGGGTATCGGCATCGCAGGGGCCTGCGCCGTTTCTGTGGCAACCAGAGCCGGCGTTCCCTCCTTCCCTCCACCGTCCTCTCCGCCTCCTTTCCTGGGAGGCGGCGGGGCTTCCCTGCGCCGTGTCTGCCCTCTGGTGGCCGCCAGCGGGACAGGCCCAGAGCCGGCCGGAGTCTGCACGGAGTGCGGCCCTGGCGGCGGCGGGGGGTCCCGGGGAGGCAGCACGGGGAGAGGGGGCGCCCGGGAGCCGGGGGGAAGCCCGGGGACCCTGGGGGGAGGGCCGCGGAGCGGCGGGAGCGGGTGGCCGGGCGGCTGCTCCTCTCTGACCCGCGGCCGGTCTCCGCAGCCTGCGGCGCGAGGGCTACACGGTGCAGGTGAACGTGAACGACTACCTGGACATCTACTGCCCGCACTACAACGGCTCGGGCCCGGGCGGCGCGGAGCAGTACGTGCTGTACATGGTGAGCCGCGCCGGCTACCGCGCCTGCAACGCCAGCCAGGGCTTCAAGCGCTGGGAGTGCAACCGGCCGCGCGCCGCCCACAGCCCCATCAAGTTCTCCGAGAAGTTCCAGCGCTACAGCGCCTTCTCCCTGGGCTACGAGTTCCACGCGGGCCACGAGTACTACTACATCTGTGAGTGCGGGGCCCCGGGCGGGGGGGTCCCCGGGCGGGGGGCGGGCATCGGGCCGCTGGGAGGGATGCCCGCTATGGGGTTTGGGCAGGGAGCGGCTCGGGATGTCAGTTCCCAGATCGTGTAGAGGGGCTGAGAGGTGCTCGGTGCATCCACAGTTTGGGTCGGAGCCACTTTCTGGGCGGAACCTCCCAGGGGTGGGACCTCAGGGGTCTGGGTCGCTGCGTTCTAGGAACCAAGGGGCTCTGGCGCTGACAGCTGAGCCTCGTGGCCCGTGTCCATAGTGTCCGGGAGCCATGGCAGGGGCCCCCGGGAGGGGCAGTCAGGGGGGCAGGGGACCCCCCGGGAGGGGCAGTGAGGGAAGCAGGGGACCCCCGGGAGGACGCCCGGTGCCAGCCGGGAAGGAGCAGGCCGCTCAGGCTCCGTGTCCCCCCCCCCCAGCCACGCCCACCCACAACCTGCACTGGAAGTGTCTGAGGATGAAGGTGTTCGTCTGCTGCGCCTCCAGTGAGTGCACCCGGCGCCCAGCCGCCACCCCATCCATCCATCCTCGGCTCCCCCGCTTCGGGGCTCCCCTGGCTTCCCGGGGGGAGGGCGGAGGGCACAGCAGAGGGGGACTCGCTCCCCAGCTGTAGCAGGGGGAGGGGATCCTGGCCCTGACTCTCCCCCCCTCCTCTTTCCCCACCCACACCCTACCCCGCAGCAGCGCACTCCGGGGAGAAGCCGGTCCCCACTCTCCCCCCGTTCACCATGGGCCCCAATGTGAAGATCAACGTGCTGGGTGAGTTCGCAGCGCCCTCTGGTGGCCACTGCTGGAACCGCAGTCCCCGCCCGGTGCCTGCTCACCTCGCATGACTCCCCCCGACACCCATCCCTCCCGCCGCCGTGGGCGCCACGTCCCCGCTCCCCTGCTGCCGCCGCCGCCACCGCCGCCCTGGCGCCCAGCCCGCCCTCACCTGCCTGTCTCCCCTCTCTCCACAGAGGACTTCGAGGGGGAGAACGCCCAGGTGCCCAAGCTTGAGAAGAGCATCAGCGGGACCAGCCCCAAGCGGGAACACCTGCCCCTGGCGGTGGGCATCGCCTTCTTCCTCATGACGCTCCTGGCCTCCTAGCTCTGCCCGCTCCTCCATGCGGGGGACGGGGGACGGGGCGGGGGCGGGCCCAGACAGGGAGACCTTGGCCTCTCCCAGGGAAGCCTTGGCCAGAGGCCTAGACCCCCCCTCCGGCGGCTGGAAGTGGGGTGTCTGCACCATACACCCGCGCCGTCCCTCTGCCCCCTCCCTCCGCGCGTCACTAGCGGGCCAGGCGCAGGGACAGCCGCGGGCCCCCGTGGCCTGACGGCTTGGGCGATGGTTTGGTACCAAACGGGGGGAGGGGGCCATCAAAGGTAGTGCTCAGGACTCCCTGACCCCTGGCACCTTTCTCTGACCCCGGCGCCCCCCTCTTCGCTCCCCCGGAGAGACCAACGTGCCCCAAAGAGAGCAAACGGAAGCGTGGGGGACGCCCCCACCCACCCCTCTCTCCCAGGGGCAGGGCGCCGGGAGGGGACCAGGTGGGCGAGGGGGTGGCACCGGCCGCCGCCCCTACCCTGTTTACAGCAATAAGCACGTCCTCCTCCCCCCACGCCCACCCCCAGGACTGTGGTTTGGATGGAATCCAAGTTTACAAGCAGCACCCCTGGGGGGTGGGCAGTGGCAGAGGGTGACAAGGGGTGGGCACCGGGTGCCAGGCAGACAGACATGTACAGCTCTATCTCTCTATATATAATGTACAGACAGACAGTCCCTCCCCTCCTCACCCCCAGCCTCCCCTGACCCCCCCTTCCAACCTCGGGCCCCCTCCCCACCAGGCTCGGCCCCCTCCCCACCGGGGGCCCCCTGGCCCCTCTTCTGTCTTCCGTGAAGACAAGACCTATGCAACGCACAGACACTTTTGGAGACCGTGAGACACCGCGCCCGTCCCCCTCCAGCCCCGAGCCGGGCCCCAGCTCCCGGGACCTGCCTCGTCCATCTCTGTGGTCCCCACCCATCCTCCTGGGCCTTTTTCAAGTGCTTTGGCTGTGACTTTCATACTCTGCTCTTAGTCTAAAAAAATAAACTGGAGACAAAAACGAGTGTGCGTGGTTTCCAGGGGGCATGAGCCCTCCCCGAGGTAACGGGGCCTCTGTGGGGAGGGGATACGGGGCCGGGGGGACGCGGGGCACCTTGCTCTGGAACGTACCTTCAGGGGCAGCTCTGTGTGGGGGAGCCGCGGGGGCTCCCGCTGGGCTGGGAGGACTCGGGGCAGCTTCCCTGGGCCTGGGCTCCCCTGAGGGAACCCCGTTACTGCCCCGCCGTAGCCCCTTGTTGGATGCACCAGGCTTTCGGGGTTCAGTCCCCGTCAGGGCACATGCAAGAATCAACCGCTGAGTTTATTAATACGTGGAATGACAACACATTCATGTTTCTCTCTCTCAAGAAAAAAAACATCAATTAAAAAGAAAACCCGAGTTATAACAGTCTCTCTCCAGGCCAGTGTACGGATTAAGTGACAGGCGTGTAAGGCTCAATCGAGGACGGATTTCTCCTCTTCTTCCCACTTCCGGCGTGAACCTAGATAGGAAGAGAATGAGACCTTTATTTTCCCTCACCTGTAGCTGGAACGTAAGCTCCTCTTATGGACTCGGGCAGCAAGCCACTGTAGCTAACAGCACCTGTGACTTCAGGAGCAACAGAAATAATCATAGATGTTTTCCGACCGCGTTGTGGTGTTTGGAGATATCTCCAGATAGCGCTTACTCTCCACACACTCCTTTGAAATGACAACAAGGCAGCTAGTTAGTAGACCTCCCTTGTTTTTACTGTGTTAATAAAAGCCTATCATTATGCCAAAAAAAAAAAAAAAAAAAAGTAAATGCTTTGATAACTGTTTCAATAGAACTGGTTTCCTTTGTACATTTGTTTTATTGGTTCCAAATGTTGTGGCCAGAGGGCTGAGCGTTAGCCGGAGCCGGGCCGCACCTCTCGGCAGCTTGTGGGGGAGGGGAGGGGGGAGACGTCCCCGGCTGCTCTGAGGAGCGGCTGCCCCGTCCAGGCCCCATGAGGCCGGGCGGACAGGCGGGCACTGCGTGGGGCGAGCTGACGGGCCAACATCGCTCAGCCTCTGCCTGCCCAGGCGGCCGGGGGAGGGTGCCTTTCCCTCATGCTGAGCGCTGCACCCCGGGGACTCGTCTCCCATGGCCACTGTGTGGGTCCTGGGTGAGTGCCCCCCTGGGTGCCCTGGGGCTCCTGCCAGCAGCATTGTGGGAGTCCCTGGGCACAGGCCCCGTCTCTCCTCTGTGCTCATGGGAAATTAACTGCCAGCCGCCCCTGGAGGGTGAGGAGGCCTCCCGCCAGCAGAGCAGGGAGGAGTGGGGATGGGGGGGCTGATGGGGAGGAACCAGGCGCAGCCCGGCCCATCGGCGGTGGGTACGGGGGTGAGCACCCGCTGAGGGCATGCTCTGTGCGGGCAGATACAGAGAAGAGGGGCTCTGCCCTCGGACACGCTCGCCATTATCACGTGTCCACGGGGATCACACACGTGTATAATAACACACACACGTGACCGTGTAACCAGGGAGGCTGCGGGAACGGGGAAAGCACAGCTTCTCCTGGGCACAGGGGAGGCGGCTCCAGCAGGAGGCACACAGCTGGGGCCCTGCAGGGAGAGGCCTGAGGCCTCGCAGGCTGGGGAGGGTGGGTTTGCTCCACGAAGGAGCTACAGCAGTGGGCCTCATGGGACAGGGTGTGGCTGGCTGAGAGCGGAGGGCCCAGTGGATCCAAAATCCAGGAATGGGGCCCCGTCCGGTTTGGCTCAGTGGATGGAGCATGGCCCGTGGACTGAAGGGTCCCAGGTTCAATTCCAGCCAAGGGCATGTACCTTGGTAGAAGGCACATATCCAGTGGGGGTGGGGGGTGCAGGAGGCAGCTGGTCAGTGTTTCTAACTTTCTATCCCTCTCCTCTCTGTAAAAAATCAATTATATATATTTTCATCCAGGAATGGGAAGACTGGGAGAAGGCCGGCATCTGGAGTCAGGACTAGGTCCAGCCGCTCCCGTTTGCGGAGCACCTGTGTGCCCTGGGGCCTTCCCACCCAACGCGCCAGCGGGAACACGGGGTCTGAGAGGCCCTGTCCCTGGCTGGGGCCACACTTCCTGGCACGCTGGCGCTCAGCGTGGGTCTGGCTGGGACCCCGGGCACCCGCAGCCTTTCCCACAATCCCGTCTGCCGCCCGACCCCTCCAGCAAGGCCGCTCAGGGTTCGGGGAGAGACACCCAGGACCTCAGACAGGGGCTGGGCGAGCTGGTCCGAACCCCATTTCAGGTGGGAACACTGAGGCTCACTCGGAGCACGCGAACTGGCCACGTCTCTCAGATGTTCGTGGCAGAGCCAGCCCTGGACTCCGGGTCGTGACCCCCATCTTTTTTTCTTTTTTTAAATCATCCTCTGCTGTGCCTTCCCGGGCACCTGGGGCTGATGTCTGAGGAGGGGGCACCACCTACCTGAGATCCCTCTTCACCTGCCCTGGGGCAGGGGCTCTGGGAAGCTCTGGGTCCCGCTGGGATCTCCCTCAGACGGGCTTCCAGCACTAAGGAAAGTGAGGTGACGGGTGAGCATTGGGGTGAGGGGCCAGCACGTAGGTAGAGGGAGACCAGTGACCTTGAGCCCTGGCTCAGGGGCAGGAGTGAGATGACCCCAGCGGCAGGGCCTGGGGGTTGGGGTGGGGTGGGGAGGGTCAGGCGGGGCCCACAGTGCAGACTCAGCGCCTCTGACGATGGACAGGGAGGGGCGGGAGAGACCGGAACGAAACAGGGGCATTGGCCACGAGGCTGAGAGGAAGACTGCAGGGACCGAGGCAGGTGGCAACAGGACAGAGACAGGAAGGGGAGGGCCAGGCTCGGCCGCCTCCTTCCTGCTCCCACACCTGACCCAGGTGCCTTAGAGTCCGCGGGTGCCAGATGGCACCCAGCACCGGGGCATTTGTGGTTGTGCTGCCCCCACCCGGAAGCCCAGGGCCCGCAGGCAAGGGGGTTCAGTGAGCTGAGCAGGCTGTGTGTCTCCTGGATGCTCCACAAAGGCGCTCGCACCAGCACAGGCTGGCACTCCCAGGGCTCTCCCTGGGCACACTGTGCCCCGCTGCCCTCCCTCCCCAGGGTAAGAAACAACAGCACTGAAACCCGTGTGGCTCAGTGGACAGAGCATCAGCCTGCGGACTGAAGGGTCCCAGGTTCAATTCCGGTCAGGGGCATGTACCTTGGTTGCGGGCACATCCCCAGTAGGGAGGGTGCAAGAGGCAGCTGATCGGTGTTTCTCTCTCATCGATGTTTCTAACTTTCTGTCCCTCTCCCTTCCTCTCTGTAAAAAATCAATAATGATAAAAACAAACAAACAAACAAACAAAAAAGAAACAACAGCAACAGCCAGTGCTGAGCACAGACGCTGGCTTGAGGGGTCGGCTCAGAACCAGGCCCTCCTCCTCCAGGGAGGCCCCTCCCCTCGCTGTGGGCTGGGGGAAGGGCAGGCGCATCTGCATCTCAATTTGAGTTCAAGCCTTGTCCCCGGGCTGGGGTGTGGACCAGAGAAAAGGGGTTCCACAGGAAGAAACCTGGCAGGGCCATGTGACCCACATGTCTAACTGGCAGCTCACGGTGGGTAGTCATGCCTCAGGCATATACTTTTTTGTGTTTTTTTTTTTTAAATTATTTTTTCTGTCCCTTAGAACTTCTTTAGTAAATGCTTTATCTTTGCCTTAAGCAAGCCCTGTCCAGTGTCCCTGCGTATCTAGGCTAACACACCTCTGGAATAAGCCTAACCACCCTCTGGAGGGCGGATAATCTCGTTAAGCGTCCTGTAATCCAATCCCCACCGCGCCGTCCCCGTCTCCTGTTTCCTCCCGACTCTCACACAAACGATTCTTCTCGGAGCATCGGAGAGCGCGTTCCCCGGTGGGTGTCCCCAGTCTGGCCCAGGCGCCTCCTGTGACGGCTCCTGCAGGCTCGGAGGAGGGTCGCGATGGCGGTGTAGGCAAATGCCGCCCTCGCCACGCTCCCACGGCCACACCAGAATTACAACTGAAACGCACAACCACCACCGTCCAGAACCACCTGAATCTGGCTGAATGGAGGCCCTGCGACCAGGGACCTGCAGAAGGAGCCCAGGGAGCCTGGGCTGGCTCTGGTCCTCACAGCCGCTGGGCCTGGAGGTCCATCCCTCCCAGTGACACCAATCGGGCTCAGGGACGCGGGACGGTACCCTCAGCCCACACAGAGGCGCACTTGGAGTGCTGCTCAGTGGCTGGGAGGCGGAGCCACTGGGCCCTACGGGACAGGGCCAGCTGCTAGGGTAGACCACTCCACCGAGCCCAGGACGCATCGCAGCCCCGCCCACTACATAAAACCAACGAGGGAAGCAACCAAAATGCGGGGACACCGAAACATGTCGTAAAGAACAGAAGAAATCCCCAGAAAAGAAAAAGAACTAAATGAAACGGAAGCAAGCGAACTACCAGATGGCAGAGTTCAAAACAAGGCCGACAAGGACGCCCAAGGAACTCGGTGAGAACAGCAACAACAGGAGCGAGGGCCCGTCCGAAGGGAAGGGTACACGACCTGAAGCGACAGTTCACAGGAAACAACAGCAGAGGAGAGGACAGCGAGGATCCTGTCAGCGATTCGGAAGCAAGGAACACCCCGTCAGAACAGCAAATAGGAAAAAATTTAGGAAAGTGTAAGGAGCCTCTGGGACAACTTCAAGTGTACCAACATTTGCATCTGGGAGGTGATGGAAGAAGAGAAGGAACAAGAAATTAAAAACCTATCTGAAAAAAGGACAGGAAACTTGCCTTATCTGGTGAAAGAAAGAGACATACAAGTCCAGAAAGTGCAGAGCACCCCTAACAAGATGAACCCAAAGAGGCCCACACCAAGACACATCATAATTACAAAGCCACGGGTTAAAGACAAAGAGAGAATCTTAAAAACAGCAGGAGAAAAGCCATGAGTTACCTACAAGGGAGCGCCCAGAAGACTGATTTCTCAACAGAAACTTTGCAGGCCAGAAGGGAGTACAGGCAAGAAATATTCAAAGTGATGAAAAGCCAGGATCTACCACCAATGTTACTCTACCCAGCAAAGCTATCATTCAGGATTGAAGGTCAAGTAAAGAGGTTCACAGACAAGAAGAATCTAAAGGAATTCATCACCATAAAACCAGTATTACATGAAATGTGCAAAGGTCTTAGAAGAATAAGGAAGAGGAGGAGGAGGAGGAGGAAGGGGAGGAGAAGGAGGAGGAAGGGGAGGAGGAAGAGGAGGAAGGGGAGGAGGAGGAGGAGGAGGAGGAAGAAAAAAAGAACAATAAAATGGCAATAAATACATACCTGTCAACAACTGAATCTGAAAATCAAAATAAATGAACAAGCAGAACAGAAACAGACTCATAAATACAGAGAACATTTTGACAGTAGCCAGATGGGAGGGGGTTGAGGGAAGGGGTGGAGAGGGGAAGGGATTTAGAAGTACAAATTGGCAGTTACTGTGTAGTCATAGGGGTCTAAAGTACAGCACAGAGAATACAGTCAACAACATCCTAATGACTGTGTGGTGTCAGGTAGATAGGAGGCTCTTTGGGATGATCCCTTAGGAAGTTTGATAATGTCTAATGCCTGGGGTGCTCACTGGAGACTAATATAATATGGTGTGTCAACTGTAATTAAAAATAAAATTATTTTTAAAAACTATCTACAGGTTTGGATGCTTCTGAAGTCAACAGGGGCGGGCAGGGGCGGGCTGTGGGGGCTGAGCAGGGGGTTGTGTTGGAGGAAATGATGCCTAAGACTGTTCTCTGGGGCAGGAGGGGGAGGTCCCAGCCCACCCTCCATCTTAGCTTTTCTCCCCCACACCCCCTCCTCCCTCCCTCCAGTTCTAGAGACTAACGGCAGTGGTTGGCAAACTCATTAGTCCACAGAGCCAAATATCAACAGTACAAGGATTGACATTTCCTTTGAGAGCCACATTTTTTAAACTTAAACTTCTTCTAACGCCACTTCTTCCACATAGACTCACCCAGGCCGTGGCATTCTGTGGAAGAGCCACACTCAAGGGGCCAGAGAGCCGCATGCGGCTCGAGAGCCGCAGTTTGCAGACCACGGGTCTGAGGGGTTGGGAGTGGACTTGGGCCCCGTTCACATCTGTCCAGCTCTTGGGAGCCACTCACTCAGCCCCAGAGCCACGGCCTCTCTGTGCTGCCCCGCTGGCGGGGCTGGAAGGACAGGGTCGTGGGTGGGTGTGGCGGTGGCATGGCTGGAAGCAGACAGGGACTGGGATGAAGGAAGATGAGTGAGGACCAGGAGGCCTGGGCTGGGACACAGGGTCACGGGTGGGGATGAAGGACAAGGGCTGGGTGGGGGCACAGGCTGGCATGAAAGACACAGGTGGGGCGTGGTGGGCCACACAGGCCGGGTGGCTCAGCCCCGGAGAGGGACCGGGAGGCATGGCGCTGACACGGGGAATGGCCCAGAGGTGCTGGGCCTGGGGCGGGAAGAGCCGCTTCGGGCAGAACCCGGGTTGGCCGGCTTGGGGTCCGACCCGGGGCATCTGACCTCTGAGGTGGGCAGGGCGGGGGGTGTGTGTGTGTGTGCAGAGCCTGTCCCTCCCCTGAGGGGCAGCTGCCAGATTCTGGGCTTTCACCACCGTGTCTGGCCCGGCTAATTACAGGGCTGTCGCCAGGCCTGGCTATAAAGGGGGGGCACCCGGGAGAGCTCTGTGCGGGCCTGGTCCCCGCTCCCCTGACAGGCTGGCCGGGGACCCTCAGGGCACCCGTCAGTTCACACCCAGTTATACAACCTCACAACCTTCAACCCCACACAGCCCGCCAGCTGCTGGGGGAGGGGCGGGGGCGGACAGCCCTAAAGGGGCCCCAGAGAGGCAGGCCCGGCTCTGTTTACACAGCTGACGGGGGAGGGGCCTCCGGCCGAGGGGCACCTTCCCTTCCCACCGGGCAGGGCGCTGAGCGCCGCCTCCTCTGCACACTCTGAGCCTGCGTGTCCCAGACTCACAGCCACGCTCACACCTCCCCCAGCGGCACACACAGGAGCGCCACACCGCACCCAGGGCACCGGGCTGGGCGCCCGCCCGTGCGGCCTGGCACCCAGCAGGTGCCAGTCGGCAGCACCAACCCAGGGGCAGAGTCCGGAGTCCGGGAGGCTGTGGGGAGGCGGGAGCGGGTGCGGGGAGCAGGGCCACACCCGCAGCCTGGAAACCCACAGGTCACGTCCACAGCCACACAGGACTCAGAGCCACTCCTAGGGCCCCAAGGGGGTACCCAGACGCGGCCACTAACTCAGAGGGAATCAGGGCGTCTCCCTCACATCCACAGGCACAGAGACCCGGGCGTCAGTCAGAGCCGCATCCACCAGCTCCTACCAGGTTCCTACGAACCCCCCTCCCCATTACCCTCACCCCTGCCATGTGCTGGTGAAGAGTGAGCTTGGGACCAGAGCAACCCCTCTCTCTACACCACAGACATGCTTGCACACGTGTGCATGTGTGTGTGTGTGTGCGCGTGTGTGTGCCCGCACGCGTGCATGCCTGTGGTGTGGAGAGAGGGGTCAGGAGGGGCCTGGGAGGGACTCAGGGAAGGACCACAGAGCCTGCCCCACTCCATGGGGGGGCCGTGGCCCCACATCTACTTTGCAGACCTGCAGGCCCCCTGTGCCGCCCGGAATAAAAGGGCCGTTTGCTAGGCCTGTGGGCAGAGCTGTCAGGGAGGCTTCGGGGGAGAGGAGGCTGAAGCCATGGTTGGCAGAGTGCCAGCGAGGGTGTGGGTGCGGACGGGGGCCAGCAGGAGGGTAGGCAGGCCTGTCAGGGGGGTGGCATCACCAAAAGGCCAGAGGCTGCCATGTTTATGTTTCAGGATATACGCAGCCACGCAAACATCCCCACTCACAGGGCGCCTCTGTGCCCGCCCTTCCCCTGGGGGGCTCTGGGTCCGCCCTCCCAGCACGGCCTGCGGGCACCTTCCCGGCCTGTGCACGGCGCCCCCTGGCGGCTCCCTCACGCCCTGCGGGTACCTGTCCGGGGCAGCCTCTTCTGGTCCCGGTGCCGGGAAGCGGAGCATCTTCTGAGTCTCCAGAGGCTGGAAGCGGGGAGACCGTGGCAGCGCTGGGGGCTCAGAGGAGACGGGTTCTCTTTTAGCCAAAAGCCCTTCATCAGAGGCCTGAGTTAAAGAAAAAAAAAAGGACAGGCTGTATTTACCGCCAGAAGGTGGCAGGAGAGGAAGCTTTTCCCCGACGGTCCAGTCCGGTCGGAGTCAGCGCCTGTTATTCTGTCCCGAACCTCTGGCGCCTGCAGGGCCCGGGCGAGGACCCACCCACGTGCTCTGTCTGCAGGGAGGGCAGCCGCGGCTGCCCCTGAGCGTGCCTGCGGCCGGGACTCCCTTCCAGCTCCTTCAGTGGCGCATTAAGCTGTATTTTAATTTTCTTCCTGGCTCCTCCAGGACAGGATGCGTCTTAACGTACCGTAGTTAGTCTGGCTTCTCCAATATCCCCCCCTTCACTCAGAGTGTAACCCCTCCTTCTATCCCCCACCTCCCCGCCTCTGTGCGATGGATGTCCTGCGTTTCATTTCTCTGGATTCTATGAATCCCACACACACAGTGTTTTTGCTTTAGTCCTTCGACTGTCATTGAAAGAGAATTTTAAATAAGGAAAAAGTATGTTTGTGCCCTTGACGGGAACTGAACCTGGGACGCTTCAGTCCACAGGCCAACACTCCATCCACTGAGCCAAACCAGCCAGGGCGAGTCTGTCCTTTTCATGTTGTTTAATACAGTGGGGCTGAGGATGGTGGGCCCTGAGACTCCATCATGGCCAGATTCCGAAGTTGGCCTATAACTTTGGAAGAGACTTCTCTGCAAACGTGATTAGTTTGCTTTTCAAAAAGCCCTAACTGGGCCCAGCCGGTGTGGCTCAGTGGTTGAGGGTCAACCTGTAAGCCAGGAGGTCGTGGTTCAATTCCTGGTTGCGGGCTTGATCCCCAGGAGGCAGCATGCAGGAGGCAGCCGGTCAATGATTCTCTCTCATCTCTGATGTTTCTATCTCTCCTTCTCCCTTCCTCCCTGAAATCAATAAAAATATATTTAAAAAAAACACAATAGCATAAAAGGAACAATAAGAACAACCTAACAGAAGGGTGGAACACAGCCGCGGCAGAGAAGAGAGACCCTGAACATCTGCACTTTTTTAAAATTTATAACCACGTCAGGGAAACAGGAAAAACACCGCACACAACCTCAGGCAGGATTTTAAAATTGATTTCAGAGAGGAACGGGGACGGGGGGAGAGCCAGAAACATCAACGATGAGAGAGAACCATCGATCATCTGCTTCCCTCACCCCTCACGCTGTGGGGATCCAGCCCGCAACGCAGGCACGTGCCCCGACTGGGAACAGACCTGTGACCTCCTGGTTCTTAGGTCGATGCTCACCCACTGCGCCACGCTGGCAGGACTTCGAGCGGAATTTGTTACCATTTTGTTAGTGTTTTAGGAAGAAAGTGACCGTTCTGGCCGTCCGCGACAGGCTTGAAATACACAGCTCATCACTGCCTCATGAAAAAGAAAAGAGGTGCGAATGGCTTTAAATTTGTAAAAAATAAAAACAAAAACGCATGCTCCATCTCACACGCAAGATAAATGAAAAGCAAAACTACCGCGAGACAGCATTCTGCATTGATCAGCTTGGCAGTGTTCCACCAGCTCCCGCCCCGTCTGTTGACGAGGCTTCAGGGAGCAGGCGCTTTGCGGTGGAAGGCAAAGAGGTGAAGGGAGGTCTGGAGGCATCAAGCAAAATTGCAAATGCGTTTACCCTTTAGTCCAGCAGCCCGCCTCTGGGCGCTTGTCCTGCAGCTCTGTGGGCACACACGGGGAACAATGCTGCGTACAGGCGCTCGCCGGGGCATTCTTTCAAGGTGGGAACGTGTTGGAATAAACCCAAGTGTCTTCCTATGGAGACCGGGTCCAACAAACTCCTGCACACGCACACAATGGAGCGCTGAGCCGCTGGACCAAAGAATGAGAAGCCTTCCGTGGAAAGAGCTCCAGAATATAACGTAAAGAGGAAACAGCAAAGCGTAGAACAATGTGTATAGAATGCAAGAACAATGAGAGCGTATATTGGTGTGAGAGGCCCGGAGCAGGAGTTCGTGCAGAGGTGGCGGACCCTTGGCCTGGCTGGCGATGGGGGGGGGCGGGCGGGGGAGGTTGGCTGTGGGAGTGCACTGACCACCAGGGGTAGCTCCTGCATGGAGCATCTGCCCCCTGGTGGTCAGTGCGCATCATAGCAACTGGTCGACTGATTATTCCAGTCATTTGGTCATAATGGTCACTTAGGCATATATCTGTCTACCTATATCTATATCTATCTATATCTATCTATATCTATCTATCTATATATTTACTTGGACCTTATTTAAAAAAAACTGGAAAACAACACTATGAAATGTGGTCGACACTCATGAACTGTACACTTAAACATGGTTGCAATGGTTGTGTGCTTTTTTTTAATATATATATTTTATTGATTTTTTTACAGAGAGGAAGGGAGAGGGATAGAGAGTTAGAAACGTCGATGAGAGAGAATCATCGACCAGCTGCCTCTTGCACACCCCACACTGAGGATGTACCCGCAACCAAGGTACATGCCCCTGACCGGAATCGAACCCGGGACCTTTCATTCCGCAGACCGACACTCTATCCACTGAGCCAAACTGGTTTTGGCTGTTATATGCCTTTTATCACAATTATTTAAAAAAAAGAAAAAAAAACCTTGAAAGTTACTAACAAAAATGGCTACCTGTCTGGAGGGAGATGGATAATTTTGATTTTCAACCATGTGAATGTATTTCCTATTCAGAAATGGATTTAAATATAAAACATCCCTGCGTTCTTTCATTTACTTATTTTCCTTGTTGCTAACTTATCCTCAGACTCTCTGCTCAGTCCCCCTCCCCACACGGTCAGACGCACCAGGCCGCCTGGGCCCTTGCTCTTGGGGAGACTTCCTGCAGCCCTCACGCCTCTGCTCTAATCTCCGTTGGTCTTTTTCTCTTTTTTTTATCCCCACCTGAGGATATGTTTTTATTGATTTTAGGGAGAGAGAAACATCGATGTCTCACCATCAATCAGCTTTCTCCTGCATGTACCTTCACCGGGAATCGAACCCAAGACTCTTAGGTGCACGAGAGGCAGCTCCAACCAGCGGAGCCACGGTGGCCAGGTGCCCAGCTGCTGCCTCAGAGCTCTCTTCACCTTCCCCTTTCCTGTGTCAGGGCCCGTTTCCTGGATGCCATGTCTCATTTCTTTCTGTTTCTCTGTGCAGGCATGCTTCCAAGAGCTTCCTGAAAAACACAGGCGGGGGCTGTGTTTCTGTCACTGAGTGACTCAGCGTGCTCCGTATCCAACCCCCTCTTCACGGCTGGTTTGGCTGGGGCGTCATTTACGTTAGAAACACTTTCCCTCCGGATTCCGAGGTCTCTCCGCTTCTCCTGTTGCTGCTGCTGAGAAATCTCAGGCTCGGCTGACGTCTGATCCTCTGTCTGAATGCAAACCTCTGCCCCTCTCATTCCCAGCTTCCCTCCTCAGAAAGTTCCTTCTGTCCGTTACCTCCCCCCCGCCCCCACCTGATTCCTTCTACTCCCGGCATTCCTGCTATTTTCTTGCGGTTTCTGTTTCCCGGTGTGCTTATCTCTGTCTCTTCCCCGCTGGGCGCTTCCCTGGGCCAGAGCCATCCTGCCTGGAGCACGAGGCAGAGACACGGTTGGGTAACCTGGATGCACAGTTGGGGTTGGGGTTGCACCCGCTGGAATGTCACCTCTTCCAGGCAAGGCTCTTTGTCAGTTCCGTCCACAGAGTCCAGGCTCCGGGAAT